CACCGGTGACAACATCATCTCTCTCTCTCTCTCTCTCTCTCTCTCTCTCTCTGTGCCTTATTACACTGCTACCTAGAAATGGGAGCTGTGCACTGAAGCAAGAGCTGAGCAACTCCGGAGCCAAACTTGCCATGCACGCTAAGATATCATATCACCCGATTCCGAGTCGTGCACGCCATGACAGCAACCCCTGACCGCCAAAAGCTTCTGTAGCCTCTGAACGCAGAGAAGACAAGCTCGAAGTTGGCGTGGGGAGGAGAAGTGCATGAACCCGACTCACAAGACCTGCATCGATTCCCACAAAGTGCTGCAACCAAACGCGACGCACCCGCGGTGTGTCCCCTGCTGCGTCAGGCGCGGGCGGGCGATGGATGCCACGCCCTCCATGGCTTTCTTCACCCTCTTACTCATCCGAAGCAAGCTGAGTTCCTCCTCTGTCACTGTGTATCCTCGTTTGCCATCAACCTCCGGTAACTCTTTCGGTGCCGACTTGGTGATATAGAGGAACTGTAAGATCTGTGTTGTTCAAAAGTAAAGAGGAATTATATGAGATAATTATAATCAAGATTTAACGTTTCGTTGGGACCGATACGTCCTCTCAGCTTCATCTCTTTATCTCTTAGTCGTATAGTGTGTGTCGACTTGTTAACCCTCAAACCCATTTAGATCAGATAAATATAAAACCTTGATTGTAAGCTCAAGTTGGTGACACAATCCATATTAGTGACCAATCAAAATGCAGTCTAGTGGAGAAATAGCATAAAATAGTTGTTCTTATTGGACCAAGAGCTATATATTAACAAAGTAAATAGTATCAGTATTGTCCTAAGAAGCAGACAGATTGTGTGGTGTGTACTTGATGCATTTTGGATATGGAATGCTGAGAGATAGAGATAGAGAGAGAGAGAGAGAGTGCAAAAACTACACATGCCTTGCTTCCTTCTCCTCAATCCATTTGTTCCTCATGAAACAAATGGAGCACAAGCTGAAGTGCTCAAACTGTAACAGGATACTATTAGATGTTATCTTTCTTTGAATATGATCTAATTTTTTGTACTTGACATTATGATTGAACTTAGCTCTTCTCTCTCTCTCTCTCTCTCTTTTTGCTTTGGTATCTTGGCAGTGAGGAACAGGACCACATCATGTGAGCCCCATTGACCTCGTGACTAGGATCTTCCCAGGTAAAGCCAAGACTCCCATCTATTTATGACATGAGAAGGTGCCTTTAGTAGCTAAGAATGCACTGAGGAATCAAGCAGCTGTGGCAGCTGCTTGGATCACAAAACAGTGGTAGAATAGTTTCTTTGCTCTAAGATTCACAGGTGATTCATTGAAGTTTAGTTCACGAGGTATTATGGTGTCCAGACAGCTTTGAGGAGTAGTAATCTCAATCCAAATGGATATTAGTCTTAGCTTCCTTTGGATTCTTTTTCAATATTAATGATGAAGGATACTCATATTAAAGATTATTTTTATTAGCATTAATTATTATTTTTGAATTCCTAAGGCATAAAAAGACTTTATTTGAGGGAAAAATATTCTAAAAATTAAAATTTAATTATTTAATAAATATTATATGTATCTTTAGGCATTGACGACGAACAATGTGAGAAGATGCTTTTACTTTTTTCTAGATGTAAGAAAATATATGAGAAAAATACTTCGGTATAAGTAGACATATGTATGGATTATGACCAACTCAATTTTACTTGTAATTTAAACTCATAACGAAGAATTTGATTTTTTTTACGAGTGATATGTTGAACCATTTAAATTTTATGTCAATTATTTTTATTATTGATATCTAGATTTTTCCATTGTGTCATAATTGATTGGCCATAAGGATCCAAATACATCTTCATCACTTTGCTTTCATCACTTTGCTTTCTCTTAGATTACATTTTTACTATCAAAATGATTAGGATTCGAGTCACAAAAATAATCTCCACTTATACGAATAAATTAGTAAAAAACCAACCTTCTTTATACGTTTGGTGATTGTCTTGGTGTTAGAATATGAAATAATAATAATAATAATTTGGTGACTAAATATATAAGCAATCAATGATCAGATGATATTATAACATCACCAGAAACATTTTTCATGGAGCAAGAAAAGCAGAATGAACAGTGATCAAAAGGTAGAGCCTCAATTCATGGGAGCTTTACAGCTCATAATGATGCTGAAACAATAGAAATCCTCTTAGGGGTTAAAGTTATGATTGGAATGGTCAAGTTCAGCTTATCTCTTTTTGGACCCAAATTAGTCTTGCCAATTACATCTTTTGAGTCTGATGTGAAGACCTACTTTGAATGGTTTAAAGGATGAAAGGCTTCTTGCTTTCCCACAAGCTAATCTTCATCAAGGCTGATAAGCTTAATCTCTAGCATTTGAACCTTTAACATGTGAAACAATAATATTTAGAGTAAATTTTTAACACTAAAATTTACATATTTTATCTAATTAAATTGTTCTCACAATATTAATTGATGATCAAAAACATACTTGGATGGAGCACCAACTGTTTAGTATCAACTATTATTATTACTAAGCTCTGTCTAAAAAATATTAATTAAATTAATAATATTTAAATTCTTCCTTTTAATTATTAATATTTTTCATAGTATATGTTCGTATCATCTTAAATATATTATTAAATTTTATTTTTTATATATTTTATAATAATTTCATCCCGTTTATCTCAATGTTATCATTTGAATGAAACTATAACTATAACTATATATATATAAATATCGGCATCAGTCATCATGAGCATCGTTCATGGCCATCCGAATGCGTGACGGAGGAGAGTGCAATGGGCTACGTGGAAGCCGCGGCCGTCACGCAATGGGGGAATCACATTCCATCCATGCCGCGTCGACACCATCATCCCCGAGTGGTCTTTTCCATCCTCATATTATGGCGATCACGCGGTGGCGTCCCGCCTTTTTGACGAGTCCAATCCCATCTCGGCCGTCCGTTCGGCGCGATCCGTTCGTAAATCACCCCCATCGGTGCCGTCCATTTGAATCAACTCCACGCCACACGTGCACCAACGACTCGTCTGAGCCCGCAACTCCGGTCGTGTTTGATGTTACAGTAGTAGTTACTTATCGGATTTAAGTGGCTTCTGTAATCTGGATTGGAATCCCATTTCGAGTCCGCTGCTTCCTCATCGTGCGGAGGGCGAAAGAAAACGCTGCGCCTCTGTCTCGCCGCTCCGGCCGCCCTGAATGGGCCAATCCGCCTCCATCCCATCCATAAAAGTCCTCTCCTCCTCCTCCTCATCCAGTCGCCGTGCTAAGCTTCCCTCCGCCGCTACCGCGGCGTGGCGTTCGGTGGCGATGACAGAAGGAGACGCCGCATCCGGCGACGGGGACGCGGCTCCGGCGAGGAACAATACCGAGGACCTCCCCGATGAGTGCCTCGCCCTTGTATTCCAGTCCCTCGGCTCCGGCGACCGGAAGCGGTGCTCGCTGGTGTGCCGGAGATGGCTCGCCGTCGAGGGCCAGAGCCGCCACCGCCTCGCCCTCGACGCCCGCGCCGCCCTCCTGGAGGCTGCGCCGGCCATCTTTGCCCGCTTCGACGCCGTCTCCAAGCTCGCGCTCAAGTGCGATCGCCGCGCCGACAGCCTCGGCGATGAGGCGCTGGCCCTCATCGCCGCCCGGTGCCCCAACCTCACCCGCCTCAAGCTCCGGTCCTGCCGTGCCCTTACGGACAACGGCATGAGCGCCGTCGGTCAGCACTGCCGTGGCCTTCGCAAGCTGTCCGTCGGGTCTTGTGCCTTCGGCTTCAAGGGCGTGGAGGCCGTCGTCCGCGGCTGCTCGGCGTTGGAAGAGCTCTCCATCAAACGGCTCCGTGGTCTCCCCGACGTCACTGCTGCCGGCAACGCCATCGTTGGCTCTGCCTCCCTCCGATCTGTCTGCCTGAAAGAGCTCTATAATGGTCAGTGCTTTGCGCCGCTCATCGCTGGATCCTCCAACCTCAAAGCTCTAAAGCTCATCCGTTGTTCCGGAGACTGGGACAGGTTACTCGCGGATATTGCAGCTAAGGTCCCTGGGATAGTCGAGATCCACCTTGAGAAGCTCCAGGTCAGTGATCGGGGCCTTGCCGCACTCTCCTTCTGTGCCGATCTTGAGATCCTTCACCTTGTAAAGACCCCAGAATGCACTGATGCTGGTCTCGCCACCGTCGCTGAACGTTGTCACCTCCTCCGTAAGATCCACATCGACGGTTGGAAGACCAACCGGATCGGCGACGAGGGCCTCATAATTGTTGCAAGACAGTGCCCGAACCTTCAGGAACTGGTGCTTATTGGGGTGAATCCAACAGCCCGAAGCTTAGGGCTTATAGCGAGTAATTGCCACAACTTGGAGCGCCTTGCCCTCTGTGGCAGCGACACCTTCGGGGACGCCGAGATCACTTGTATTGCCTCAAAGTGCATGGCTTTGAAGAAGCTCTGTATCAAAGGGTGCCCGGTCTCTGACCAGGGAATGGAGGCCCTCGCGGAGGGTTGCCCAAAGCTAGTTAAAGTTAAGGTGAAGAAGTGCCGAGGGGTGACTCCAGGATGTGCAGACTGGTTGATGCAATGCAGGGATGGGATGCTGGCAGTCAACTTGGACACAGCTGGGCCTGTGGAACAGCCAGAGGGGAGTGTTGGTGAGAGTGGGAATCTTGAAAACAATGAACAGTTGATCGATCAGATTGGGGCTGTAGATCTTCTCCCATCAAGCAGTAGCTCTAGGTCGTCACCATGGAAGACTAGGATGGGTCTTTACGCTGGTAGGAACTTTGTAGCATCTGCTCTCCGGAGATGGTCCCATGGAAGCAGCAACTCCAATCATACATTACAGTGAAACAAAATCTCGTTCTTTTATTGCTTTCATTGTCCTACTAAGTCTTGAATTTGTATGTCATTTAGCGCTTCATAACTAGGGTTGTCATTTGCTGCTATTGCTGATCATAAGCTGTTTATCCTGACTTTTGAAAGTAAATAGTGGGTATTATTTGTCTTTCATGGCATTCTGTCTCTCTACAACCATATGCATTGGTACTCTGCTCTTTTAATGTAATTGTGCTCATAATTTTTTATGCTTATCATTATATTACACTGTTTTGTTTGTTTTTCCCTAATTAGGGCCTTTTGCTTTAACTCCTGTCCTAGTCTGATCTGTCTAGTCATAAACAGCAGGATTGTGGAGTTATATGCAAGTTGCTGGGTCTATTGTTTCATCCACCATGGCATTGATTTTTGTTCTTTCTCAAGCAGTGTAAAGAGCCATTGGCATGAGTTGAACTGACATTGACTCAAATTATTTTGGCTTGTTTTAATGAAACATGCTAAAGTTTCTTGAATATCTAAGCAAAGCGTTCTGAATTTTAACATTGTAGGATTTAGTGTGTGAATTCAAGGAGCCAAGAGGAGCTTTTAGCAATCTTGAGGACTTTCAATGACTGAAATTAAAAATGTCTCCATTTGTACTTGTTGATTGCTAACATGGTTTGAAGGAAGCTGAAAGTCTGTCACAAGATCTTGAAGTTTTTTGTTTTTTTCCTTTGAAGCTAACTGATACTAAAAAACATAATGATCTTTACATTTATCATATTTTCATGATTCTTTGTTGTTCTCTGGAATGTAGCTCAACTTTTAAGTTAGACATCAGCATTCTATTATTTTCTCTTTGTTATATGATTCTCAGTAAAAAATGTGGACTTAGCTTTTGTACATAGGCATGACATTCTTCTTGGATTCATTGTCATTAATGCATTTGCTATTCAGTTGAAGATCAATCTTAATAAGCAGTTTTCATGATTGCATACCAGTATTTGGTGTTTGAAGATCTGCATTAGTTGTATTCGTGATTCATATCCTAATGTGCAGAGCAATCTTAGTTGGCACATTGAGTACAAATTGTAAGTCTGCAAAATTGTCCTCGACTTAAGATATCACATATAAGCTTGGATTGGTTTGTGCCTTATGAATGTTTACTCATGGAAAACCAATGCCATCTGTAGGCTAATGGGATTGAGCAACATTATTATCCACTTGGAATATTTATCATGGGAGTTTTTTTTTCTTTTTGCTGTGGACTGTTGGTAGAAATTTATAATTTTATGATCCTGCACATGTTAGAGTCATTTTTACGATATTGAAGGTAAATCGTAAGTGTTATTTGAAAATCTTGAACTGATATCTTGATCTTGAGGTTTTATTTCTTGTTAAGTCTAGCTTTTGAAGTTGACTCTGCCATGGTCTGCGCTTTGAGTATCAGTTAATATTTCACACCTCTACTTTTTCTTGTTACTAGTTTATTGAATACCTTTTCTGTCACACGATGCATAGTCCTTCTTGGCATCTGGTACATATTGTAAACGAGTCGTGTTTTTGCCTAATCAAAGCATGTTCGTTCTCTTTGTCATCCAGTTTAGTGCTATGTCTGAGTAATTGATGGTTATGCTTACCGCTATTCTCCGAGTAAATTGATGGTTCTACTTAGTGCTATTCTCTGAGCAATTGATGGTTATACTAAGCGCAATTCTCTGAGTAATTGATGGTTATACTGACTCCTGTGTATAAATGCATACTGGTTGAATTATTCAAAGATCAGAATGCTAGGTTTTCTTTTCTTTTTGGCCTTTTTATATATAATGTATGCTTGCATTAGAATTGTTAATTGAATTTGCCATTGTATTCTTCAAAGGGTACCGGATCAGTTAGCACTATGCTCACTGATAACTATTTTATTTTGCTCCATTATATACAATTTTTGGATTCATTCTTTGAGACCTTTCTTTCTAAGAAGTATCTTCTTTTGTTTTCCCTTTGCTAGCTAATCATTAGTTACATAATGGAGCATTTACATTAATGTTAACTCTGTCCAAATTTCGTTTGATGTTTTATGGATTGATAATTGTTTGTGGTTTTGAGTGACTGATGAGCTTAGGCTATGGCTAGCTTTTCTGATCTCTTAAAGATTTTAGTTAATGTATCAAGATATTACTGTTACAAATGATGAAAACAGCTATAATTTCATCACTTGATTAGAGGCTGAGAAACCCTTGGATCTTTTTTGCTATGGCATTCTTGATCTCTGGCTTCACAACTGTTTTATATTGATGTTCATCATATTGCATGTAAATGTTGTTCATTGCTGCAAATTCATTACAGATAATATTATCTTTTGCATTGTTCTTTACAGTAATATGTTTGAATGTTGTTCATTTTTGATAGTCATTTAGTTCGGGAATCAATGACACTCATAAGTCCGTCGAATCTTTTTTACTCTCAGAAATATAATATTTAAAATTTATATACTCTAAAAGGATAAAATCGTACTCGTACGGGTAGCGGATAATTTCTCGCGAGTCTACGGATCAAACGAGATTTTATCTCTCTCTCTCTCTCTCTCGCATCGTTCCAACTTCAATTGCTCCTTCAACCTTTGGCTGTTTTCTCCTTTTTCCTTTCTCTCCCATTCTGCACTAGAGTCCTTTTCCTCAGTTCGATAAGCTGTTCTTGCTTTATCCCATCCCCCACCCCCCATTCCCCATAATTCATCTGTTATTGCTGTATTCTTGATTACAAACCGACAACTTTATCATGAACGCATCTCTCTTATTTGATTCCGACTCGAAGTCCCTACTCCGTCGCTGTCTCCACGATCCCTCCTATAAGAATACCATCTTTAGTCCCACCACCCCATCAAAATCTCACCTTTCGCATTCTCCTCCTCGGATTTCGCACCATGGGCATCGTTTCCGAGGCTCTTCTCGCCGCCCTCCTCCTCCTCGGGGTAGCTGCCACCGCCTACGCGGCGCCGGACATGTCGATCATTAGCTACGACGAGAAGCACGGCGTGCGGGGCTTGGAGCGGAGCGACGAGGAGGTGCGGCGGATGTACGACGCGTGGATGGCGGCGCACGGGCGGGCGTACAACGCCCTGGGCGAGAGGGAGCGGCGGTTCGAGGTGTTCAAGGACAACCTACGCTTCGTCGACGCTCACAACGCCGCAGCCGGCGCCGGCGTGCGTGGGTTCCGCCTGGGTCTTAACCGCTTCGCCGACCTCACCAACGAGGAGTACCGGGCGGTTTACCTGGGCACCAGAGCCAACCGCGCCACCGCCCGACGGGTGAGGGTGGCGAGCGACCGGTACCGGTACAACGCGAGCGAGGAGTTGTCGGAGTTCGTCGATTGGAGGGAGCAAGGCGCCGTCGCCGCCGTCAAGGACCAGGGGAGTTGCGGTTAGTCTCCCTTCCTCTTCATCTTACGTTAAATTACCATTGAACCCTTCGATAACTTCCTTTTTGTCTTCTATGTGGCCCTTTTCCATCCATCTAATACCTAATTTGCGGCCAATTTCTCGTATCCGTGCTTATGTGGTACAAATATCCTGTTAAATATTGGTGTTATTTATGGATGAGTTCTTCCTTGCTGTAATGTTTCATAAATATTATATAATGATTCTATTAGGCACAAATTACGTGCAAGTTTATGTAAGAATTGAATGTTATTTGAAATGGTTATCTGCATGAATTCTGAAACTTCATTCTCAAGGTAAGTTATTAAAGCATTAGAACTTTGGCAATCTTCTTGCTGCATTTTGTCGGTAAATGATCAACACTGGCATGATAAGAAGGATTTGGCGCTGATGAACTTATGTGTGGTGGTGCAGGGAGTTGCTGGGCCTTCTCGACGATCGCTGCAGTAGAAGGAATAAACAAGATCATGACGGGCAATCTGATAACGCTATCGGAGCAGGAGCTAGTGGACTGCGACAATGCCTACAACCAGGGATGCAATGGTGGACTGATGGACTATGCCTTTGAGTTCATAATCGATAATGGTGGCATTGACACTGATAGTGACTACCCCTACAAGGCCCGTGATGGGACATGCGACCAGCTCCGAGTAAATTCCTTGGAATTTGTCATGATTTCTTTAGTTACATCGATGCTAAATGTGATCATTCTGATGGTGATTGGATTGTTTGATATTGTAGAAAAATACTAAAGTTGTTGTGATCGATGGGTATGAAGATGTTCCTGAGAACGATGAGCAAGCGCTGCGGAATGCTGTTGCCAACCAGCCTGTCAGTGTTGCTATCGAGGCTGGTGGTAGGGAATTTCAGCTCTACCAATCGGTAATGTCTCCTCTACTAAATCAGTGATGCTGTGATTCTTAACAATTACCTTGTTACGTCATTGGTAGTACAAGAAAATAGTGTCATCTCTAATGAAGTGCGAGAAAGTATCATCAGACATTCGACAAGATTGGTACTACCATGGGCATGACTCTGGTTGCATATTGTGCTTGCGCAAGTGTTGTACCTTACCTACAACTGATTTCAGGTGTAGAGAAACAAGGTGGTGATTAGATAGGATATATGATCATGGATCCATGCTCAGTCAACTTTTATGAATACTGCAAGTTCATGATTTTAAATGCATATGCATTATTGATATATTAGAGTAATTCTGCTCCTTTCATCGTTCTTGAAGGATATTTCATTTTTATTTGTGAAATTTTGGAAATGAATGGATTTAGCTTCAACAATCGTAGTTTATCCTTGCAAAGAAACTATGATTAGTACTAACTCATATTTCATTGTGTGATCGAGGCTTTGTTATGATGGCATTCCAGCGATTGGATCATATTATTGATACTGTGCCCAGAATTATCAATCATCAGAATTATATATGGGTTGTCAGATGTAGAGTTTTGTGGAGACTAATCAATTGATAAGGTAGAATACTAACTAGAGGGACTAATCAATATGCTTCAACATTTTGAGAAATCCAAAAGTGAATTATGTCCAAGAATCCAATGTATAGGCTCCTACTAACATGATATCTACTAAATATGTGACAAGTTAGTATTATAGAGCTCTTTAAGCCTTGTGATATTTCTCAAATATATCTGATCTAGTCTGAAGCACACTTGGTCATTATGAACAACCTTCTATTATTTTTTGTTTCTACATTATATTTTATATAAGCTATCTTCTTCTTCTTCTTCTTCTTCTTCTGTTAAGTTAATGCAACAAAAATTATAAACTGTGCTATTTGTTTTAGGGAATATTCACAGGAAGATGTGGGACTGAGCTGGATCATGGTGTGGTTGTTGTTGGCTATGGCACTGAGGATGGTAAGGATTATTGGATTGTCAGGAACTCATGGGCCAATGACTGGGGAGAGGCTGGCTATATCAGGATGGAGCGTAATGTCAAGACATCCACTGGAAAGTGCGGTATTGCTATGGAACCATCTTATCCCACAAAAAAGGGTCAAAACCCACCCAATCCTGGACCCTCTCCTTTCCCACCAGTGAATCCACCAATTGTCTGTGACAACTACTACTCCTGTCCATCGAGCACCACTTGCTGTTGTGTCTATGAGTATGGGCACTACTGCTTCGCCTGGGCATGCTGTCCTCTTGAGGGCGCAACCTGCTGTGAAGATCACTACAGCTGCTGCCCCCATGACCACCCTGTTTGCAATGTCCAGGCTGGAACTTGCCAAATGGTAATGTCATACTCTTGGGAAACTTCTCATGCAAATGTTTTTAATACCAAACTTATCACTGTTTAATATCTGATCATCTTTAATACATCTGTAAAGATCATGGCATCCTTAGAGTTCTCTCATGTTGAATTTAGAGAAATGCCAGTAAATTAACTCAACTTTGAACCTAACTTGAATTCATGATTTATATATTGACAGTTTAAAATTAGTTTCAAGTCAAGTTCGAGTTGTTGTATAATTGGCCTCTACTACATCAAAGCCTGATTCTGAAACCGATCCTATGTTGTGCAACTTGATAATCTAAATTCACCCATATATTGCTTGTTTAAGATCTAATTCTTTATCAAGCTTTTTAGGCTTGCTTCAAGATATACTAATAACTTTTTCAACTCAAATACATTGTCGCATCAATATTATTCGATTCTGCTAAGCATTTAGAGTACATTCTCGGTCTAAGCAGTCAGCATTCATAGATAAGGAACTCAAATTGAAACAGAGAGAAACTAAATCTTTTTCAAAATCCCGATAATTAGTTGTTTAATGTGTAGGATGTATGCATATACATCTATCTATAGTTCGGAGCAACTTCTGCCAAATCTGAAAAGGAGCCTCTAAGTTGCGGCTTTTGGCCTGAAAACAGTTTCGAGCCTATCTTGTTATTGAGTTTGCTCATTTACATGCTAGTTGAGCTCATTCATGCTTTCAAATTAGCTAAGCTGTAGCTATTTGTGATGGTTTTCTTAAAATTACCTGCCCTGCAATAGGCGGAATCACTTTTAGGTCTTAAACTATGGTCCAGCTATCAACATACAAAGTAGTACGGCTGTAGGCCGTCTCACTGTTATGTCTTATCAAAGTCCAGCTGGATACAAAATTATAGACAGATGACTATTTATCTCATTTACATGATAGCTGGGTTCATTCATGCTTGCAGGTGAGCCAAGCTCGATATTTCCAGCCCTACAATTAATGAAATCATTTTTGGGTCTTGTACTATGGTCCATTTGCATATATACAACTTAATAATTCACTGTCTTATTCAGAAGTCCATCAGGATACAAATTAACAACCGTGACTTCTTAATTCTTTCCATCTAGCTGAGTCAAATTTGAGATATTTGTGTATGGCTATTGGAATTGCCAGCCCTACGATGAGCCAAATCACTCTTAGGTCCTATAGTATATATAGTATGGTTGCATTACATACAGGTTACTAACTGGCTGTAGTTCCATATCATAGTTATGTCTTATGCAGCAGCTGAAAACAAAAGATACAAATAGATTGTTACTGCAGTGATGGTGATGATCTGTTGTGTGTTCCTGGCTATATTTAGCATGACAGTCCTCGAACATGAACCTATGCATATAACCTCAACCATTTCTCTGTAGTTAACATTTATCTTTGTAAATATTTTGGACTCTGCTTGTTATTTCTGATCGTCTCCATTTCATACTTTATGTGAACGAACAGAGCAAAGACAACCCCCTCGGAGTGAAGGCTCTTGCTTGGATACCTGCAAAGCCGCATTGGGCATACTTGGATGGCAAGAGCAAGAAGATCAATGTATGAAGACTCATGCATTGATTTGTTTCGTGAAGTGAAAATTAAGAGTACTCCAGCAGCTTGACCTGGCACACTTCTCCCCTGCTTATGAACCGAAAGTTAGCTTATTGTTTATTTGACGACAACCGTGTAAATATTTCAGATTCGGAATGTAAGGTGGACCGAAAGATGGTTTACTTATTAATCATGCCATTTGCTTTTCCAAAAATTGGATCCCATTCACTTGTCATGTACTTCAAAATTTATCATGTTACAATAAGATTGGGGATTAGCTTACCCTATGTAATATCTGATGCTATTGTTGTTAATGAATTGCTTCTGTTGACAGCATAACCTTTTTCCCTTCAGACCATTTGATCATATGTGAACCTTGGTAGTAAACTTTATCCTATGTGCTCACTTTATGGAAACTACTGAGTAGTTTCAATTAGTTGATCTTTTCCTGCATCATCAAGCTTCTGAAACCCTCAATAGCAAAAAGCTGTTCCTGTCTGGAAACACCTCTAGTTTCAAATTCAACAACTGGTCTTCTTACTTTTCTGTCATTCTTCTCTCTCTGTGATGATGAATGTTGCATTTAGTCCAACTACTGTTGCATATTAAAGATGTTCCCATTTGATCACCAAGCCAACTATTTCCAGTGTGGTCACATTTTGATCACCAATTATTCCCAAAACATGCAATTTCCAGTGTAAACACAGTGAAGTCTGGAGTGGCTATTGATATCTGGACCCATCAGGCCTAACTGAAGAGGAGCATTTTCTGATAGCAGTAAAATTTGACTTGTGTTTGCATAAAGTTTAGGGTCAGAGGAGACAGGAGGAACCAAGTGGGTTGATGAGTAGTAATTACTATATCCATGTCCTTCTCAGTGGAATCATGGAGATCAAGGGCATTTACCAAAACATGTGGCATTCACCCTCTGCTATGGTCCTTTCTTGACTATGGCACCTTTCAAGAGGACAACAGCATTAAACTTCCCATTCCCACCACTGTCATCCAAATAATGAGATCAAGTTTGAGACTTGCATGAGTAGGACATGACCAGCTCTTGGTTTGCAAAAGCAACAGTGCAAAGATGGCTTCATTTCATCCAAAACTCTTAAATATCACCTGAAGCAGCTCACTTTGTAAATTTGAGAAGAAATTCTTTCTTTTATAACATTTTATGGTACAATCAAACACAAAATAATTCATTCCCAAATACATTTCTCTTTTTTTTTCTTCTATATATATATATATATATATATATATATATATATATATATATATATATCTTCAGAAGAGAAATCTAGTGCATGAACTGAGGAAGTCATGATCTACTGATGAGTTAGAATGTGCTCTGGCTGATAAAAATGCAAGTAATATCTGGTACAGGATTTAGACTGAAGTTAATGAAAACTGTTCATGCATTAAAATAAGACCCAATGGATCAAATCATCCAAATTTATGCACCACTGAGACAGTCCTTAGTGAATAAAAGGCTAGTTGAGCTCTGCAACTCGTCTGTCAACCACAGTCCATCTGTCATGCATCAATTTGTCACCATACTATTCCCATTCAATCTCTTCCACTGCTTACCACTGTGTCTCTCTGTTCTCCTGGTGACGTCCCCTGTCCCTCCCTCCCTCCACTATACTCACCACTCTCTCTCTAATGCTATTTATTAGCTCAAACTATTCCAGAACGACACATATATCTTAGATTATGCATTGCATGGAAACAAACAAGCTGTAGTATGAACTAAAGAAGAGAAGGAAGCTTTCTCATGGCTAGCAGAAAGCTGCTGCTGCTGCTGCTTCTCTCCACTGTACTCCTCTTCATCTCTTCCTCCCTCGGTGATCGCAAGGCCATTGAGATTGGCGGTGGCGTTGGCGTCAACCTCGGTTTCGGCATTGGGCCGACACCGTCCCCGTCTCCTCTTGACGACTCCGACGGCTCCTCACCGCCTGCGCAGGCACCGTCGTCTGGGCCGCAGCCCTCCGACTTCCCCAACCTCAAGCAGTACTACGCTTACCTTGTCATCCAACGCTTCAAGCAAAGCATCACCTGCGACCCCGGCGGCGTCACCCAGACCTGGGTGGGCTACCGGCCTTGCACCTACGAAGGCTTCTACTGCGCCGCCCCGCCGGACTCCCCCGACACGCCCACCATCGCCTCCGTCGACTTCAACGGCTTCGGCCTCTGCGCGCCGACCATCGTCGGCTTCGTCGACCAGCTCCCCGACCTCGCGCTCTTCCACGCCAACTCCAACTACTTCTCCGGCACCATTCCCGACCTCACCGGCCTCCCCTACCTCTACGAGCTCGACGTCAGCAGCAACCTCCACTTCGGCGCGTTCCCCACCAAAGTCCTCCCGCTGAGCAACCTCATCTTCCTCGACCTCCGCTTCAACTTCTTCGCCGGTGCCGTCCCGGCCTCTGTCTTCGCCTTCAACCTCGACGTGCTCTTCTTTAACAACAACAACTTTAACGAGCCGCTGCCGGCCGAACTCGGCCGCTCGCCTGTAGCCTACTTGACCCTGGCCAACAACGGCTTCACCGGGTCGATCCCCCCGTCCATCTACAACGCCTCGAACACTCTGGTCGAGGTGCTCTTCCTCAACAACAGGCTCTCCGGCTGCCTGCCGTACGAGATCGGATTCCTGAGCATTGCGACGGTGTTCGACGCGGGTTTCAACCAGATGACCGGCCCGATCCCGTGGTCCTTCGGCTGCCTGCTCAAGTTGGAGCAGCTGAACCTTGCCGGGAACCTGCTCTACGGGGAGGTCCCCGACGTGGTGTGCCGGTTGGCCAAGGACGGCAACCTGGCGAACTTGTCGCTGTCGGGAAACTACTTCACCTGGCTGGGCCACTCATGCTGGGACTTGGTGAAGACCAAAGTGCTCGACGTGCGTCAGAACTGCATACCAGGGCTCCCGGAGCAGCGGTCGCCGGCGGAGTGCTCAACTTTCTGGTGGGGGCCAAAACAGTGCCTTCCATCGCACGACATTCCATGCAGCCTCCCAAAGGGTCCGACAAAACGCCCGATGTCCTCCACGCCGCCGGCGTACGTGACCTACGAGGCGCTTCATCACCCACCGCCCCGGAATTAGCAGATCGCTCGTCACTGCAGCAGCATCTCTTCTCATTTCCTCTTCTTAACTCGATCGATCCATCTCTCTGATTAGCTTCTGTCCTAAAACTTGGTGTCCTCGACGTTCTTCCTGATCAACCGTAAGCAAAAGGAGAAGAATAATGAATGGGGGACTGATCATTGTGTTGTTTCAGAGCCAGCAACATGAATAAATGCCATCAGATAAGGAGCTGATAAAACTGAAAGAATAAGAACATTAAGTGCTTGTAATTTCCATGTCAGAGGACAGACACCTGCAGAGCTTAAAAGAATGACCATGGCATCTTAAATATGGTAGATAAACACACACCTTTCTGCTTGATTGATCTGTAGATGGAACAGAGATTGTCACAGTGTCACATTAATCATGAAAGATCCTTTGAGCAACCATGGCAAATCACAGAGGATCTTCATGTAGAACCTTCAGGTTTACACTGTGAGCCTATCAGTGAGTGGACCGCACTTCAAGCTCTCCATTCACCATTAAACCCAGTGATTCCTCCAAGGAAATCATCATCAGCTAAACAATGAGAATTTTTCAGATAATTAAGTGGCACTGTTGTTTTCTGCATGCCATTCCTATAGTCACTAGCGAAGAACACTGGTCTAAAATGGATCATATCAAGCCATACGATACAGCATTGCAACCAAGCAACAGTTTTGGGATATACTGCGCAGTAAAATGAAAAGAGCAATAGAAGATAAATATACTAGAGATTAACAAATCACACAGCAACTTAATTCACAAGTAGAAACTGAGGATCTACTTCAACAAATTACTTCTTGACTGAAAAATAGTCCGTCGAAATTGTTGGACCAGCTATCGATTGATATGGTTTGATTTCGTTTTGGCAGCAAAATCATAG